CGTTGACAAGTATATGGTCACCGCTTCTTTTACTTTCACGTTCTTCACCAACAGCACCCTCGTCATTGATGATCTCGTACTATACAGCGTTGAGAGTGTTACCCTGTCTGCTATAAAATTACGCGCGTGACGGCTTGGCCATAGAAATGTGGTGAACTCGGTGGGGAATCAACATTAGCTGTAGAAAGTACACCTGCTCAAAAACTTTTTGTTTTCAGAGATGCCCAAATAAGAATTGTTTATCAGAAACTATCAAGGCTTTTATGAGCGTATGAGCATACGTGATGCCAATAGAATGGTGACGAATACGAGTCGCGTGTATTTGTCGTGAATAATAAATAGTTATTTTTAAATTACCTTCTGCGAAATAATTGGAAGCACATGTTGTCAAATCCGTATGTACGCCTCTGATTTAACGGTAATTCCACCTTTATTATAATAAATCAGTTTCTTTTACAAAGAAGCCACCACAGTTAGCCCCATCAGGGGTAACAGTTCGTTCCTGTGTAGTTAACGTGCAAAAAGAGGCCCTAATCAATTTTTCTTATGAAGGAGTAACTCTTACATCCCGACATTTGGTCCCTCAAAGGTACTAATTGATTATTGATTTGTGGCGTTTACCATCCTAAACCCACGATATGATTATGAGAGACGCCATAGTGGAGGGCTCCGGAAATATTGACCACCTGGGGTTCTTTAACTAGCACCCAAATCTGAGCCTCAAAGGAACTGAGTAATAACAGTTCGTCCCCTGATAGTTACTCCCTAAAGGATGAGTCATTGATCCTTTGGGGAGTAATTGTAGTGGCAATGCAGTTACACTCTAGAAAGACGATGCTAAGACACTTTTGTGGCTCGGAGCGCAATTAGCTTTTCTTGTATTCTGAATAAATACATAGAAGAATCTTGATGCCTGATGAACATTATCCACTTTAGAAATTCTGTATTACAAATTTTCAATCATGTAAATTACCTCGAAGTATAGGCAAGGCCTTTTTTTTTGCAGAGCCCGGGCGAAGGAACGGATTTCAGTGGAAAGTGCGTGTCGGTGTTAGGGCGGCGTTTCGCCGCCAGGCACTGCCACCGGAGTAGACATGTCACCGCGTTGTCTCTCGCGTCAAGAAAATAGTATATTATTACTATTATTATTTCATTTTACCCTCATGGCTTTACAAAAGCATTGTAGAGGGGAGGAGCAAAAAGCAAACATCCACGTATAAAGTCAGCCAACGCACACGAAGTACAAATATTTCAATAGTAAGAAAACAAAAACATCTAAATGGGCAAAACCAAAACAAACGAAAGCCGGCAAAAGCATAAGGGGCGGAAAGTAAAACATACAACTAATGAGCCAGCTAATGCGCAAAAAGTATAAAAGATTTATTATTAACACGAGAAAAAATGCAGTGTGAAATACAAGTCACGAAAACAATGAGGTACTATCGCGAGCGCCACTACTAATGTACTTTACATGCAATATGTCAAGACATGACGGAATGCGTCGGGCTTAGTAATACTGGTGGTTGATGCTGACACAAGATTCCAGTCGCGACATGATTTGGAACGATAGACTTAGAAAATGTGACGGTGTTACTTCGAGAAATATGCACTTTATGGGAGCGATCTATGCGGGATGATATGAAAGATGCAGGCTGTGACAAGTGGGATTTTAAACCGCGATTATGATAGATTTTTTTTTGCGCATCACAAGTGGAAGAAGATTAAGCCTGTTCTTCACCGTAGTCATCCTAGACGTTCAATTATAGCTGCAAACAGTGAAACGTGATGACCGGTTTTGGATTGTACCTAGTTTTACGTGGCCTAGATCGCATACACATGTGGCGTACTCCAGTAAAAGATATATGTAGGTGATGTGCAGCTGTTTCTTTGAAAAAGTCGGCGCTACAGGAAAGTTTCGTTTTAAATCGCCGAGCATGCGATTAGACTTGGATGTGACGGCAAGTTAGCAATGTGAACACCAAGATACTTATAAGACCGTTCATATTCAAGTGGGGTTGCGTTCAGGCTGCAGGAATAGTAATCGATAGATGCTATCGATTACTATTAATCTTACTGTTTACTTGTAAACTCATGTCCCGGAGTCTAGGACGCAAGCTGGCCTCGTTCAGATCCGCCACCTATTGCAAGTGCATACCCACATGCGAATAGTTCACCTACGCGATCATCAGAAATCGCGAGGCCCTTCAAATAAAGCAACGAAGCAACCAGCGATCTCGAAACGTTCGACGGTTGTAAAAACTGGAACAGACGGAGAGAGACAGCGTGACAAGAGTACACGCTAATACACAGCTTGCCGGCAGAACACCATCCGCGTGAACACAGACTTCACGGACAACGCATGTACCGGGAAGCAACAAGCTTTCATGTGGATAAACAACTCAACACCTAGGCATAGAGAGATATTTACGGACCAAGCGGAGCGAAAAGCTTCCCCATATCCAAGTTACCCGTATGCATTCTGTGAGAAGAGAAATGCTCTCGCCTGACGCTTGGCTACTACGTAATGGCGCGCTCAAGCAATGTAGCCGGTGACGTAAAGCAGATCCTATCTGTTTGTGTGGTTTTGCGTCGCTACGCTTCAATGCGCACCTACGCCAGTACACTGGCACTGCGTGAAATGCGGCCACGTGCTCACGTGTTCACCCTAACAGTGCACACCGCTGTACGTTGAGCGTAGTGGGAAATGCAGACAGACTGTATCCACCTTGCTTTCTGTTTTGCATTTATTTCTAAGCGGTTCTAACTTGGATGGTTGATAAAAAGACAGATTCATAAATGTTGCAAATAGGTGCTGTATTGTATTTGCAACATTTATGAACCTTTTTGTTTATTGATTGATACGTGAGGTTTAACGTCCCAAAACTACCACATAATTATAAGCGACGCCATTGTGGAGGGCTCCAGAAATTCAGAAATTTCAACCACCTGGGGTTTTTTAACGTGCACTCGAATCTGAGCACACAGGTGCACAGCATTTTCACCTCCATCTTAAATGCAGCTGCCGCAGCCGGTATTCGATTTAGCGACCTGTGGGTCAGCAGATGACTACCTTAGCCACTAGACCACCGTGGCGGGGCAGCGCCTCTTTGTTGCCACCACTATCAGAATGCGGTGAAAAGAGTGCGTCGATAAGTTCGTGTTATATTTCCTCGCCCTTGTATATGTGAAAGCCGGCGACAAGTATGAACGCTAATCAGCTCACTTGAAAACATGAATGCGAGAGCTTCCTAATACGCGCGGCTGTTCAATGCCAGCTGCTCGTAGTCTGCTCGCGTAGCGCCTTTACGCGGCAGCGTAGGCGCAGAGCGCGCGCTAGATGGCCTGAAGAGCGTTCGCCCAGGCACTGAAAATATATATATATACAGGAGGTGCTGTCTTAGCTCGTAGCAGAAAAAAATGATAAAAAATTAAATATAGCCAGATATAAATATATTTGTTTCCGTGAAAATAGCGTAATATTTCCAAGAAATTTGTATATGTATTGCGTAGATGGTTCTCGTACTAATAAAAAAATGCTACCTCAAGATGGCAGAAAATATATGGGACGTATAGGGCTTACCCAATGTTTGTAAAGGTGATTTGCATATTCAGCGCTCATTTTAATATCCCAACTAAGACAATTGTAAAAACTATGGAGCCTTCATAAGGCCCATACATATTCTAGCTAGTAAGGTTAAGCTCGGCAAGTCCGGACATTCAGTGCTAACTAAGAATGCCTGGCTAGTACGTACTACATAATAAACTAATGCTGTACCTTGGTCTCTACAATGCCATTTACTAGGGGCTAAGCCATTTATGCTTGATAGTGTAATTAAGCTAATTTTTCAAGTACATTATGGTACCACAATTGTGTATATTCGGTGCTGCTCCGTAATGACAGACCGATGTTTTATGGGTACCGATCAATAAACTTGCTCGCGGAACTTTGTGAGGAAGTGTGGCAGCTTGGGCTAGTTGGTATGGCATGACGATTGTTATAGCGCGAGAACAAAACGAAGACACAGACAAGAAGCGCTCGTGTCCTTCGTGTCCTTGTCTCTGTGTCGTCATTTTGTTCTCGGGCTATAACAATCCTTATGTGAGGAAGGCTGATTGATTTGTGCAGCCCCATCTGGACGTTTGCCTGAATTGGCCTAACAGAAATTAGTAAAACCACAACTCAGGAAAGTCTCGACAACCCAGGAGTGGTTATGTTCCCACCAACACCACCTTGACGAAACCCGTGGCGCTGGCCCGATTGATGTTGCGCTTTTTTATCTTTCGGACAAATCGCTCGGCTCTTCCACTGTGACTGCACAAGTAGCACCTAGCACCTTCTTTGGCGCCAAGGTGCGCACGCAGTTCAAGCGAACGAACAAGGAGGCTCGCAGGTAATGTTTCATAGCCCAACTTAACGTTCGCGTGAGCCGGCGGTGAAAAAAAAAAGTAGGCGACGCCAGGTTCGTACCATTGTGTTGAAACTACAACCAATCACCTTGACGCATGCGCATATGAGCACGTTTTACGTTCTTCGACGTAGACGATGTAGGTAATGTCTAGGTAACGTCGCCGATGCAAAATCCAGCTTGTCGCATCACGCGCCCGCTGCCCGCTGGAACGCCCTGGTCGTGCCTCGCATCGCTGAACTGTGTGTTTGCGTGCGTCGAAGTTATGCGAGTGCGCCGTGCGTTCTCTCCAGCTCCAAAAGCAGCCGTCAATTGGCATTGTGGTGTTGTTCGCCACCACGCGCTCCCGTGGTCTCAAAACTTTTGACTGCCACAGCACTTCGTAAAGCGAACTATAGGTCACACTGAAATACAAATCCTACCACCAATCGCTGCTACCTTCTTCAAACTCTTTAGATATTAGGCACTAAGCTTTACGAAAGAAGCCTAATCACAACTAACATATGAAATTGAATATCAGCCACTTTGCCGTTCAGAGCGGTGCAAATAAATGTAGTTTCTGAAAAAAACAAGAAACAAGACACTTCTACTGACCTCAAATCTGCGGACTTCCTTGGTGGGTAAGTGAAGGTTGATGCTGTTCGCCTTGTTGAATGGCTGCCTATCCAAGGGACAAAGACCGGCACCATTTTGGGAGCTGGCTGCGTGGCAAACAGGACAAAGGACGTGCGAACATGGCAGCTTCTTCCGCCACGTCGGAATCATGCCACAGACAGAGCACATGCATGAACTTGGCACCGTCGAAGCCAACCGAGTCGGTCTCCAGTTTGCGCCGGGAAAGTCTTGGTAGTAAAAGCGATTTATGCGCTTTTCTTCCATTTCCGAAACGGCGTCGTCTTCTCGCACGAACCAGGTACTTTAATATACCCAAACTAGATTTGGTGCAGCTTCCAATGTATACATAGACTGGTAGCGAAGTTTCATAGAAGCCAATGCGTTCAAAAAATGGCAGCTCACCAGCTGCTCATGTGGCTTAGCGCCATCTCTGTGCGGAGGGAACACTTCCGGTGCAAGAAAAATGAAGCGGATGTGATGCAAAAGCTCAAAAACAAGCGACGTCATTTTTTTGTGCACTTGCACAAAATTTCATCTCAAACTACTTGTCATGGGCCCCTGATCGATAAGGACTTGTGCTAAGGCGATCACCGGCGAGTCATCCACGAGTGCACTTCAAGTCAACACCAGCTAATCTAATACGAACTCATGTACAAATAATGATATTTAACTGTACTACCGTTCACTTTGCCTCGAATTTAGAGGGAAACTTATTGTACGAACTTTTATTCACTGTTCGTGGCTTCTTCCGCCGATAGATTAAGGCAACCAACAGCGTAGCAACGTATACATGTGATATCTGCAGCGTGGCTTATTTGTTTCACACATCGCAGGTTCTTCAGCAGGCACAATGTTTGTGATCTTCTGTTTTAACAGGAAGAAATGATGCCTAGTCACGCAAAAATGATGATGTTTTAGTTTTATTTTATCGCCACAATATTTCAAATTCATTACACTGCACGAAATGGTAATAAGAACACAAAATTCTGCGCAACTCCCTGCGTTGTGTTTCTTTTTTTGCAATATGCTGAATTGTCATTCTGTATGCGCATGAAGACATTCGATTGGTACCATGATAGATAACTTGACAATTTGTTCACCGATAACGCGAATAGTAAGCACTGCGCGCTCAAGAAAGAGACCGCGCTGTAGACATTCTGATGGATGAAAGTCCAGTGAACAGTGTATTCCGAACCATTCTTGTTGGTTGATATGTGGGGTTTAATGCCCTAAAACCACCATATGATTATGAAAGACGCTGTAATGGAGGACTCCAGAAATTTTGAATTTATGGGGTTCTTTAACGTGAACCCAAATCTGACGAACCATTATTATTGTTTGTTATCTAGAAGACATGGGTCTGCATCCTTGTACAGCACATATTTTCCGCAGCTTCCGGCGAAAGCACTCGGCGTTAAATGTAACTCGCATCATTAGGCTATCTATTCAACACTGCATGAAGACGTTCATTAAGGATAAAACGCATTTAACAATTTCGCACACAACAGAGAACGCGAGCAAGAGCAGAACACTAAAACACGTGAGGGGTGTGTTTCCAGAGATAAGTTTTACGAGCGGGCCTTGTCATGTACACCCATGTAGGGCGAATGCTGCACTAAGAAATAGCGTGGACAGAGGGCGCTAGCAATAACATTCTTCGAAAAAATAAAAACCCTCATAAATTCTCTGTTCATTAGACCTACATAATGCAGTTGGAGAAATGAAATCTCATTTGTAAGACTTATTGCTTGCTTTGACACTAAATCAAATTTGGTTTTTTCACTATTAGTATTTGTTGCCTCCTCACATAGTCACGCTTCAATCGCGGTTCCCATTACTCGCCATGCTCATGTCGCTGACAATAGCTTCTGAATCACATTTCGCCCAAGCCTTCGCGACCTATTTCAAGAGACCTTGCAGCTTCTACGAGCCTTCGTCAGTTAATATCGAGTGGCCGGATACTACCACAAATATCTCTTATTTCCTCAAGGCAGCGACACATGCCGCTATAGGTTTGCTAAAATCGTGACGTAGCATTCCACCTTTCTCGCTCGTCGAACACCTATATTGACCATGAACATGCGTACAGGTATACCTGATATTACGTATACAGTAAAATTCACCTGTGTCTGACAATATCGCCATGGTCAAATCATAACGGTTGGGAAACTTGGAATGAAAAAAGTCATAGCTTTGTCCCAAAGGCGAAACAAATAACGCAATAGCAACAATTTGAAAGGTCATGCGCAGAACGGAAAGCAGATCGAAACGTGCCTCGTGTTTCTCGCGCACAAATTACACACGAAACGTACTCACAGGTACGGATGCACGCGAATAAGCATCTCATTTCTTTCTTCGCTGAGTCTGAAAAGAGCGCGCTTTTCGCCAACGGAGACTGCAATGATTGCAGTGATCTTTGTGCGCCCGGTAACTACAGCATAATCGTTCCACGTAAAGCCCGAGGCCAGCCAAGGCGTACGATCCTCGCCTCCTCACAACCGCGAGATAAGGGCGCGCGAGGAGCGTAGTTCCCCTTCTCTAAGCCGAGCAAACTACGCGTAGGAGATCAGAGCGGACGCCGCTGCGTGATGTGGCAACGTGCGCTCATTGCGCCATCTTTCTGGTAATGCCAAAAGCACAGCCGCGGTAAGTGATAGATATAAATGGCTTGCCATTTTAATAGTAAAGAACGTTCTCTGGGGTGCCTCAGTGGTTAACGCCTCCCTTTAACAACCAGAAGTCCCACGTTGAATTCCACGCGCCGAAGTGTTTTTTTTTCTGGATTTTTTTTTATTTTTTGCGTTTTCACATATATAGATACGTATACATATACGGTGCATGACATCGACGCCAATGCTGGCGGCAGAATCCGGCCGAGAGCGTCCATATAATTGCTATAGCATAGAAATGGTGGTTGGAAACTCAACACCCACTGTATGACTGAAGCCCGCATAAGTGAGAAGTGCCAAATTGAGAAAACCGAAAACGGAAGCCAATTTTTTTCTAATACTTATACTTAAATGTATGTTAACGGATACTAAAAATTTACTTTACGGTTTATCTGACACGTGGCTAAATGGTTGACTGCCTCATTTTTTGGTCGAGCGCCTTAAATCCGGGGCGTTTAGAGTCTGTCCAATGAACTATCTGCTATCAAGGTTTTGCATGGCTTGTATTTATTTCAGCGCATTGTCTCGTCAACGAGGCATAGCTCACTATAGCGTGATGCTTGCGTATTTCCGTACTTTATTTATTTGCATATGTGCTGTTTACTGGCGTCACATTTCAGACATAGAGTAGGATACTATATAAGGAGTGGCCACTCGAGCTTTTTCGCCCAGCAAGAAAGGGTCTGACCAACCGCTCAATGGCGTACCCATGCTCACTTCTACTCTTTTTTTTTCAATACTTGTAATAGCCACCAGAAAAACAACAAAACATAAGATTGGCATCAAATTTCTGCAAAGAAGAAAATTTCTTGTTTTATGCATATTTCTATATCTGCTCTACATTGTGTCCCATGAAAGATGTTCATTGCTTTACCACAAAAATTCGTAAAGTCCGGCTAGAAAGTGTTGTTGTCTCTCTGCATTTATTTTGCGCGAAGGGTTCAAATTCATGTGGTTTAGATGCACTGTACATTTATTCACTTTGTGCAAGCAAAAAAAATGAGTGAGTAGCCTAGTGGTAAAGACACTCGCTTTCGGAGCATAAGGGTACGGGTTGAAATCCCTGCATCGGAAAAAAATATTTTTGTTATTTCATGTGTTGAAGAGAGAGAGAGAGAATAAAACGTTTATTTGCGACCGAGGAAGGAGTGTCGGTGAGTGGTCTCCTTAGTCCGGGATCCCATTGGCACGGGCCGCTGTCCTCGCTCGTCTCACGAGGGCCTCTCGGGTTTTCGGATCCGAGCTGGACAGAGCTGCCTCCCATCCTACAGTGTTGTGCTGTGCTCTGGGTTGTAGAGGTGGATTGTGTGGGCATTCCCATTTCATGTGGAACAGGGTGGCTCTTTTAGTGACGCATTACCTGCAGTGTGGTGCGTATGTGTCGGGATATATCTTGACAGTATGTATAGATTGGGGTAAGACAAGGTCTACAGGTGACGCCACGCTATACCTGAGATTCTTTACTGAGCTTTGGCCCCGGAAGCAGAAGTTTCCGTCTTTCGAGTCTTTGATGTTCTAGAATATTTTTGTATGTTAGGAACAGGTCCATACGCATAGCCGAGGGTAGGTGTGATATGCCGGGGTCGGATGCCCGGAAGAGTAATTCTCGGACCGAGGCATGGGCGAGCTCATTGCCTCTAACTCCGCAGTGGCCGGGTATCCATATCAGCTGTTTCTATTCGCCCTCTGAGCGTGACAACGAGAGTTGTATAAGAAGTCGATGCGCGATAGGGCCAATGTAGCCTTTACGAAAATTTCAGTAGGCTTGCTTTTGAATCTGTTAGAACGGAAGTGGACCTTGGGTTTCGTAGGGTGAGGGTGATTCCTGCTTCTTCCATACTAGTTGTGTCTGTGTCCTGGGCTGATATACAATCAACCTGTTTTCCGCAATGAATGACGCTTGCTGTATATTTGCCGTCCACTGGTCCAGCTGCATCGACAAAGAAGGCGCGCTCAGTATCTGAGTAGTTGCCGTAAACTTCTGCCCATGCCCGACGTCGATGTTCGTGGAACTGAGGATGCATGGTGCGTGGAAGTGGTTTGATGATGAAATTGTGCCTCCATTCATGTGGGATACGTTGTTTTCCCCTTCTCTCAATGGGGGCTTTGATGCCAAGTTCTGATAGTGTTTTCCGTCCCGTTTTAGTGATGGCGAGGTGCATTCGTGTGGTGTGCATGGAATAGTTCTGATACGGTATTGTGGAGCCCCATTTGAAGCAAACGTTCCGGAAGGGTCCACATGGGAAGGTTCAGAGCCTTCTTGAGAGTCACACGTATGACTCGGTCGATTTTGTGGTCGTCTGCTTTCAAGGACCTCAGGTAAAAAAAGCTATACGTTATGCGGCTGATAACAAATGCCTGAATGAGTCGCATTGTGTCGTGTTCTCTTATCCCTCGTCGTCAGTTTGCCACCCGACTAATCATGCGAGAGATCTCTAGGCAGGACGTTTTTTTTAGTTTATGTAAAGCAAGTGAGTTGCTGCCCTGATTATTTTAGTGGGCCCTAAAATTCGGATGGTTTCAACCTCTTTAATTTGCGTTCCATTGAGTTGTACGTTGAGGGATGTATTGTCAGATGTCTTATTTCTATATACCAGGATTTCTGATTTGGTGGGGGAGCACTCCAGACCGCTCTCCCATCCTATCTTTTCTACGATGAAGGTGGCCTGTTGGAAGGCTTCTTCTACCTGGCCCAGGTTTCCAGGCCGGCTCCAGATTGTGACGTCATCACCATATAATGTGTGGCGTACTTACAAAATTTCATTTAGGGCCTCTGGGAGACACATGAGGGCAATATTGAAGAGGAGCGGAGAAAGGACAGCCCCTTGGGGAGTACCAAAATCACCCATGGTTATGGGTTGAGATTTAAGGTCCCCTATGCGGATAGGGATATTGTCTGTCTATAAGGAAGTCCCGCAAATATGCATGTAATTTTGTACCGCATCTGAGTTCCCGTAAGTTTTCCAAGATAGTGAAGTACTGAACATTGTCAAAGGCAGCCTTAAAATCAATTGCATGAATGGCCCTTTCCGCTTGAGTGCTACCGCTTGGTAGGTCGACAATCTCATGTTTTAGTTGGAGGAGGATGTCCTGCACTGAAATGTCAGGCAAGAGGTTCTGTTCTTCTAAGTATTCGTTTAGCCTTATTTGTATGGCCTTTTCCATCACCTTACCAGCGCCTGGCGTGAGGGATATGGGATGGAGGTTATCAATATTGAGCGCTTTGCCGGCTGTCGGGATGAAAGGGAGCTCGGCCGATTTCCACTCTAGGGGTAGCGTTCCGGCGTCCCAGTATTAGTTCATTTTATCTACTAGCAATTGAGTTATATAATCATTTAGGTTAGAGAGCAGCCCTATGGATACCTGATCGGGTCCCGGGGTGGTACGTTTCCTCGTGCTTTGTAATCCCGCTTTAATTTCGAATACCGTAAACGCTTTTAAAATTTCTGGATTATCGGGGCCGTCATAAAGGGTATGGATGCGTGGTACCGCGCAGTGTTGACATACTTCAACTGTAGGGCATCGAGTAAGTTCGCATTGTTGTCAGGGAGGCCATGTATAACCCTCTGAAGGCTTCATCTGTTCGCGCCTCTTGTAGAGTCTGGGTCAGTGAGGTGACGCAGAAGGTGCCAGGCAGATTTTGTATGGAGAGATCCTGTAAGGAAGTCGCATTTCGAGGATCAATTTTCTTTAGTGAGTGGTGTTGCGCATTTCTCTGCCTTCGCAGTGAGGGTGGCTATACGTGTTTTGAGTCGGCGATTAGGCCTTTGTCGTTTCCAGCGTCTTGTGAGTTGGCGCCTGGCATCCCATAAATGCAAGAGATGGCTATAGACCACTGGAGCTTCAAGTGTAGGTGCAACAGTTTTGGTAACCACGTTCTTAAGTTGAAGACATCGACGAGTCGGACCACAACTCGTGGCGCTGAAAGCAGCAAAGTAGCTCGGCCGCAGGGCCCCTATATGGGAGTGTTCGCTCTTTATGTAAGTGTGTTTTTCTATGTTTCAGATCTGAAATACCTCACAGGGTCTGTAGACTGCTGCTCTTGAGACTACTTACTGCCTTTCTTAGCACTCGGATGGCGTACCATCGCCTTTCGTGATGGTGAATGCGACACGTTAAGTGACAAGGCACAGTCTTCTGATGTTGCCAAAGTGATGTTCTAAAGGCTCCTGTCTCACAGCAGTAGTTTTTCATGATTTGGCAACGTGAGTTTTCGAACTATTCCTACTGAAAAAACTTATATAATTCCATACAGGATCCGTATGCTTCAATACAGGAGTTACAGGGATTAATACAGGAAATGTGCAGGAAGCAAATAGGGGTAAATAGGCATAATACAGTACCTACATGCGGGTATGTAGGAGCTGAATGGGACCTGGGCAGGACAAATAAGGGTATGTAGGAGCTACGTATGGATTATGGGTTTGGTATGTAGGTCCCATCTAGCACACTATAGGAGCTAATGGGGTTGAATTGGGGCCATACATAGGACATTCATAGGGCTCAATGTAAACTTAAAGGTCAATGTAGGACATGAATAAACTTATTACACCAAATACCTAGGCATGCATAACATTTTTGTTTTTTTTGCATTGAAGGGCTTAAAACTTTCATTTTTTCAGCTCCATTAGTTGGCTGTACGCAACCTTAAGAAATAACCAATTTTAACGAGTACATTTAATGAGATGCAATTATGTTGTAACTGTCAGTTCAAGCGCACGAATAAACAAAAAGGAAGAGAGGACAAGCGCTTTCTCGCAACTAAACTGTCTATAAGAAAGGGAAGAATATATAAACAGGCAATCAAAAAACAATGCATGCGTGTGCAGGCAAAAGAGTACACCCGTGGCACATTGAGAACACAGGGTAAAAGAAGAAAGATTATCTCGGAACCTAATCTAGAAAGATGAATTCTTTATCGTGCAGCAAAATCGAAGGCTGGCTGACGGATTGTTCCCCTCTTTTTCTTATGTGAAAAGTTTCTCTCAACTCACGAGTTAATTGATTGTTAGACCGAAAAACCGCTTCGGTATCCTGAAAAAGAGGATAACAACCGCACTCTCTGCAATGAGCCGCGAGATGCGATGTACCCAAGGATTTCAAAGAAGAATCGTGCTCTCTGAGACGAACATTGACGCACCTTCCCAACTGACCGATGTACACTTTACCACAGCTAAAAGGAGTCATGTAAACACCGCCCATTGCGCAGTCTACGAACGTTTTGCTGTGTTTCATGCGGCATTGCGGAAACTCTCTGCACATGCGTGAACAAATAGACTGCAGTTTGCTTTTGGCTGAGAAAAGCACATCGACATTATATCAATTAGCGAGTTGCTTAAGTTCATGCGATGTCTTATGAAGGTAAGGAATCACTGCTATCCTCCTACCTTTTCTACTGTCATCACGACGCCCCACATGGTTCCCTTCAACTTATACCTGAGTGTCTTATACCTGAGACCGAAAATACTTCAGCATGTGTGCTATGTGGCCGAATTCAGAAATAATAGAGTCTTTAGATACGCTGGGAGAGTGGATGTGGAATATGCTATACTTAGAGAGCATGTTTGAGAACATTTCTTGTATCTGACAACATCTTTCTTGGCTGCAGTTTGTGGAGAGGAAGGTCCAGATGCTTGTCTAGTTCAAGGATGGTGTTATGTAAAATACATCTCTCAGCAATTGGCATTGGCACATGCTTGGCAGCTGGCACAAGCCGAAGGGCATGTCCAATGCCATCCTCAAAGAGAAATGTGGATGTAGCCCACAGTGGGCAAAACATGCGTGTCACTTTTAAGAGGTGCAAGAACTGGTGGACAATAAATGTCATCGCTGCATCTCCATACTATTTGGCCATCTGCTGAACAATTGTTAGCAACAACCTTTCTGCACAACAAACATCTGTTTAGGCAACAGTGTCTTTGTTCAACAAAAAGCAGCCTTGACAAGGAGGGTGAAGTGGGACATATATTTCTGTGGAAAGAAGTCCAACAAAAATGAAACACTGTAAAACAGCAACCAGTTACGCCACTTGGTGGCTTTCCAGTATGCGCGCTCTGACAGTGGTCTCCCTGCTCGATAAAAGGTAATCGGTGGTATTAAGGCACGCAGCCTGGCATCTAAAAGTCTTATGCGCCGTCCCAGGTAGAATACCGAGTTAGTGACTGAGAGCCATAACTCCATAAGCTGCCTTGTTACAACTTCCAGAACACAATGCATACAGTCTGTAGGCAGTCCCCAGACAAGGTCAAGGCTTCGAAGCCTCACCAATGGTGATGGCCCCTTGAATCTTTCAACTGCCACCTCTTGTTCCTGAGACTTCCTCATTGCTTCCATCACACGGCCATGGCTTCGGTCAGGCGGTAGGTGACCGCAGTGGAGGTGCTTCACTGAACCTGTCACAGAACAGAACACATAAGAGTATGACGAACTTTCACAAATACAGATGTGGTTAATCATACAACTTAAAGGAGTACTGACACGATTTTGAGTCATCGAAAAAGGGACATTTCTTGTTTTCTTTGTATGCAGCGTCAATGCTGCCCATACACCGAAGTCAAGGAGAATGTACAAAATATTTTGATTTCACTTTGAAGTTTTCGTCGATAAGCATCTGCAAGCCAGCCCCACTGCAATGGACATTATCCCGACAAGTCGAGAGAGTTTCTCCAAGTTTGTGAGTTTTGTGTCCTGCATGCAGCCTATATCATAGAAATCACTGTCAGGGTCACTGTATGACAATTCACTAATCGTTTTTTATGTACACTACGAGCAGATGATGAATTTACCGCTAGTATGTCACGAGTTTCTGTATCCCCGTGACATCGCACTGATATGAAACGTCAGAGTAGCAGCCTCCTGGATATAAAAACCGAATGTTTCTTTTTTAAGGTAGCGATAATTCAAATACTTATGATGCATTTACAGGCACTACTTTACCCGTTTTAGGTTTCTCAAAAGCAGCATTTTTATTCAGAAGAACAATTCAAATATTTTTTTTTAATTTGTGTCAGTAGTACTTCAAGTTCTGCCCATGTTAAAAGCAGACAGAACCACTTTGAATAGTTTTGCATGAAAGGAATTTACTAGAAAGGCCTCTCGGAACAGTCACCTTTTAATGGCTTGCACAAAACCTGTACAAAGAAGTAACGTTTGGGCAAATCGGTTTTTTGCAGTAATAATAAGACATTATTTTCAAACATCTTTCAATCTGACAAACAGACGTTCATCTACAGTTTTGAATAACCACTATCCATTATTTACTAGCGAAAAGGAACTGTGAATTCACTCGCTACTTTTATGTGCACTCACACAAATATTTGTGTAAAAAGGCCCTGCAAAGCTTTAACAAAAAATTGCACATTTACCACACCATTTATTTGCATTGATTATAAGATTATATACTATTTTCAAATTTATCCAAAAAATTGAGGTATGCAAAATTATTCCACAAGGTGAACATATTTTTTATCACCATGAGCATGCTGGAAGCTATGCAGGTGGGGGGGAAGAATGGCCTGAAAGTTATGCTGTTGCACATCAAGACTTCGAACATGTTTAATCTTTTTTCTATTTTTTGACCATATCAGCTGCTGTTTGTGCTTCCGACATGCACGATACAAGCACGTAGGAACATTTCATGGGAACTCACAGAGACTCATTCATTAATTATTTCAAAACACATGAAAGCTACAAAAAACTCACCATTAACACAAGTTCCTTTTTCAAGGCACCAGCTTCACCCGTAATATTCATTAAATTGCTTCATGTTGAGTATTGATGGTCTGGCTTGAGAGTCTACACAACAAAGAACCACATCAACTTTTGACATGAAGTCAGCTTCAGCATGTGACCATACAAGAGTTCTAATGTTTTTCACTTTCTCAACAAATCACCTTAAGGAAATGTGCATTGGTGGATGCGAACTAAATGCCTGAAAGTGCAATATTCTTGCACCTAATTTCAAAGAGAAGCTCGTTGATCATTACTTAAATGGGACGAATCGAGCTCTTCGAAGAATCGAACACTGGCACACCGTCGGTATTGATCGTTAGCGTTAGTTTGCCCCATGCCATGTTCATCTGCCTACGAATACTCCTGTATAGTTCGCCATCTGTGATGTCAGAGTACATCCCCAGCACTCGACTGGCAGACAACTTTAGCAAGCTTCTAAGAAGGGGACCACTGACGTACTTGATCAGATCTGTAAGTTGTTGTTTCAAGTCAAACTCGTAGCAGCTGGAAGTTTCTTTGGGACAAAGAAACTTCCAGCTGCTACGAGTTCCTTAGTTGTCCGTTGCACATTAGATTCACCACAGGTGACTTGACTTTGTGCTTGCATCTCTTGGGAAATGCCAAGATAGCAATGGCAGCGCTGGCATTATAAATGATTCCTTAGCGCCACCTTCTTGTCCTTCCAAAGTTTGCGAAGCAAGTAAGTTGTCAATGGCGCAACAGCCTCACCGAACAGGTTGTTCAGCAGGATAAGCAAGCATCTCGCCAGCGCCCACGTCAATCCTGCCGTCACAATATACGCCATAACTAGAAGCAGAGCTTGCGCTTTCGTTGTCTTCTGGTGTGGAAGTGTTTCCTCCCAGAGCTTGGTGAAGTCATTAGGAGCACCTTGTTTATCACTTTCACTTCCATTGGCATCATCATTTGCACAGGTGTCATCTATGTCTTCATAATCTATCGTTTCACTTTCAGAGGTGTTCTCACTAAGGCTAGCAGCACTCGCACACAAATGGTCCGCAACATCCAAGTCACAACTGGCAGACACTCCTATGCTACTGCTGCTGCTCTGAGCGCGTTCTTGAGCAGCACATTGAAATGAAGCTGCGTCCACAGAGTAACCGCGGTCCGAGGAACCATCTCTGGCACTTTGGTTTCCACTGCTACAGGCAGAATATTGACATGTGTCATCCTGGAGGTGTGATGAGCTCTGGAAATGAAACAAGTATGTAATGTAAGGTTATGACTGAAACGACCAATATTCTCTATCTTTATTTGCAGTTACTACATTTATTATTTCTAATAGTACATGCACAGCGTTTTTTAGCCACTACATATTTTTCTTAAATCTTCTGTGACATTCAGACTGCGGTTATTTTCACACATGAACTCTATGTCAAGGTGGAAATACTTTTCCGCAGCTGAAGTGACATTCACATGACTAATTAACAAAGATTACTGGTTTGATTTTTGTTATTGACTTGAGGGCAGTTGTTCATATTATAAAGGTTCGCATATACATGTTTAATAATCGCGAAAGTTGTGTGAAATGAGTGATTGATACATATAATCAAAATTTTGAGGGCGACATCGAAACTGACGGCACCTGATGTGCTGGAAATGTGGCCTCTCTGTCAAGTCACAGCAGAACTACCCATGACAGGGAAGTGAAGAAATTGGAATGATGATATGCAAAGCAGAATCTATTGAGCAACATCAGCAACCATTCTGAAATACACAAGTAGACAGCTTATTGTTTGCGTCCCATGTGTAGTGCTCTTTTGTTTTTTTTAAACTCTAAACACGTGTGAAAAAGTATTCTTCCTGTCTGCAATAAGAAGCACCACAGCAGCTGCCCTGAAGTTTTACCGTAACAACCTGAGCAAGCGCTCCTACCCGAGCAAGCCCATCAATTTTTCGGAGATTCCAATATGTGGCCTCCTCTCCCCTTCCACAATTTTCACTGTTTCATTCACAGTTATCAGATACCTGACGAAGGCGTATGAGCATAGTGCATGCATATTCACTAATGCATTTCATTAGAAGCAGGGGTGTACATTCTTTATTCCTAGCAGCTCTCCTGACACCATCTTGAAATCTGATCCATGCCCTAACAAGGACCCCTTCATTCACACATCTTGTTGAATTCTCCTTCACTGTAGGGGTGAAGGGGCTTGCCCAGGATTTTAGGATATGTTTTCCTAGACAATGTGAAGGTTGATACGGCAGCTCTTTTGCGTGTAGCTCGAAAGAAACAAATGAGCACCAAACACTACAAGCAAAGATTAGGCGATGCATCATCAGTGGCGTAAATGAGATTACTCACTATTTCTCATGAAAAATATGCGCAGCACACCTTTATTCAAATTTCGTCACTTACAGTTTCTTTTCACAGGTAGTTGCAGTTGGATGTAACAGGGCAGTCATGCTTCTTGCAGTCTGGGTGTGATAATTTTCGATATTGCCCTTGAAATTTGCTAATGAATTTTTAAAACTACATGCAACTACTTTGATTTCTGAAACATGGATATGCCATAAGTTACAGCTATCTAATATAAACAACTAAGCAACTACCTTCGCAGAAATATTTCAGAAGTTAATTAACAAGTTTTCGTTAATTTAACCTTCCTCCTCCCCACCATTTAGTTTATGAGAGAAAACGACAGGAGCCTGACTGTTATTGAATTTTTATTTTAAAAATCTGCATTGTCCAAAAAAATCTTAGCACCCTGCAATAAATATGCATATTATTCTACAAATATCCGACAACGACCCTACAGGCGCAGTGAAATATGTAAATTATTGCTACAGTTACACTTGTGTACGCAACATTTACTGCTTTATGCCGGCGCCAAGCAGGCAATTTCGACATCGATCAGGGCCGATCTGGATTGGGCTCGATCCGGACTAGCTACACGCTCACATTTAATCACGATTAAGCCCAATCTAAATCAAACGACCAGATCGCGATCCACCAGACGTCTGCACCAAACTTTGTCCGGATTAGTTTGGACAGTTTAGCAATGGCGATTTTTGATGGCGATCGCGAAATTCGACCTACGCCGGACCCTTACAGCGATCAAAAGTGGCCGTGAGGCACCAGTACTAAATGCGAAGCATTTCTTAGCGAACTTCGGCGACTTTGAGCATTTCTATCTATCTATCTATCTATCTATCTATCTATCTATCTATCTATCTATCTATCTATCTATCTATCCATCTATCTATATAGCCACCTATGACCTTTAGCTCTCCTGGCCGTTTCGATAATGGTATTGATACCAAACTTGGTATGGCATAACATGACTATATGAAGAACATATCTGACCAGTCATAACATGAAAATCATGACATGTGTGTCATGAATGCCTTTGTTTACATTTCATGGTTCTGCAGCTTTTGCGGTGGCTTCGTTCACATGGCATGTATCAAAACTAGTATGGTATGGCATTATTGTATGGCAAACACAAGCGACAGACCATAACATGAAAATCATGACATGCGTGTCATGTAACAACATGACTACATGCCAAGCTCCTAATGCGCTCGCGGCCGTTTCGCTAGCGTCACATATACCAGATTTGGTAATACAGTACTTAAATGGATGATGAAGGTATGGGACTGGTGCAAACATGATAATCATGGGATGCGTATCGTGTAACAACATGACTAAATGCCACGCTCATGATGCGCTGGCGGCTGTTTCGCTAGCTTCACATATATCAAATATGATATTGTGGGACGTGAATAGATGGCGAAGGTGTGATACTGGTCCAAACATGATAAACATGAGATGCGTGTCATGTAACACCATGACTACATGCTACGCTCATGATGCGCTCACGGCGGTTTCGCTAATTTCACATGTACCCAACTCAGTATTACGCGACGCGAACGGACGACTTAGGTAAATGACACATCCAAACATGATAATCACGACATGCGTGTCATGTAAGAACATGACTACAAGCCACACTCATGATGCTCTCGCGGCCGTTTCGCTAGCATCACATATGCCAAATTTGGTATTACGTGACGCCAATGGAGCACGAAGATATGCGGCTGGTGCAAACATGATAATGATGAGATACGTGTCATGTGAGAACATGACTTCATGCTACATTCAAGGCGCCAATAAATTTCGACGTGACGCGGTGCGCGTGCTCGCTGGCGTTGATTTTGTCGCCTCACGCAGGCGTTGCAGCGCCAGGCGCCGGTCCTGCCATATACACGCATGAGCGTGCCGCGCTGCGTTGCTTTGACGCATGCGCGTTTCAGCGGGTCCGGCGTCGCTCCGTCCCGAAAAGAGGGAGACGCAGTGTTGTCTGGATAATGCATCGGTGCGAAATGCAGCATATCGCCTTTCGTGCCGGTTTCCGTCGGGCCGCGTCGACGGACACTGATCGCGCCTGGCATCAGAGTACAGAGTGCTCGCGTTTTGCTAACGTAGCGTCACTGCGCCCAGCGTGCGCGCGCGTCAACGCTACATTGGAGTACATTGAATTCTCTTCATTATGGGCTCGCTGCCGTTTTGCTAGCTCTACACATACCAAATTTGGTGTTAGTTAATATCAATGGATGACAAAACATATGGCTGGTGCACTGCACGATAATCCTGACACGCGTGTCATGTAGGAGCATGACAACATACCACGCTCATAGTGGGCTCGCGGCCGTATACTGAATTTGGTATCACGTGACGTGAATGAATGACGAAAGTAAATGACATACCCAAGCATGATAATCATATGGAAGTCATGTACGGCATCATTTACCTCCACGTTGTAATGTTGTGCAGATTTTAAAGTAACATATGAAAATTTTTCATTCGTGCTTCGCATTTATTCGATTCCCACAGTACGTTGGATCTGCCAATTTTTACATAAGACGGGGAATTGTTCGAAGGACTGATTTCTTTGTTAGATAAAACTAATAAAACCAAGAGGTACTTGAACTAAGGAAAGCATGGGCGTCCTTAACTGTGTTGCCTTCTCAGAGCTACATGACTGAGTGCGTGCGCGCAGGTGCGTGCGTTTCGCCACAGATCGCACGTTCGAGTCAACGATTGGCTGTGATAATTGCGAGGTAATATGAAACGCGTCCGGGCTGCAACCCACAGTCATAACAGGCACTCATCTGGGCAATACTGGAGCGCTTGGCTCTCTTGGCAGCATTTGTCAAATCTTGCCTCGGAACCTGGACCCAGGCTCCAAATAATGCCTGTAACGTCGCCGCGGCTTCTCGGACATCGTGAAATAAGCTAAAAGGCTCTATTTCAGGACCCTAAAAGCTATCCAAGTCCGCTTTTCAGACATACAGCAAAAAAATCACCACGATCAATGCTGTAGGGAATTACAACCTGACATAAGAATGAAGAAAAGATTCACTACCGCAGTGATGCGAGCACACCGTGCACTGTTACGCAGACTAATAAAAACTGGGTGTCTGTAACCAATGCCAAGAGCGCGTTAGCATAATTCGGTGTCACCGCTTGCCGACAGTTGGAAAACACTGGGCGGTGATGTTGCTGCAGGTCAAAGAAACTCTTTGGGGCAATTAACAGGAGGCACCTTTGTGCAGACGGCAACAATGTTTAACCACTTCTTGCAAAACTGTTTTTGCAGCAGCCTCACGGAATAGAATATTTTGTGACTTCGAACAATTGAACATTTTGTGATCTTAAAAGAACTGCAAGTAACCTGTGATAGACAATAAAACAGTGGCGTAGGCAGAAACGTTTTGTTTCGTTGGGAGACATCCTTTATCTGAAATGGGTGCCGGGTAGCAAGTGTGATCGAGTGTCGATGCTTTAATTGTATTCCATGGCAGAAAGAAATTTGGGAGGGGGAGAGGGGTGTGGCACGGGCTTGGTGTGCTACCTCCGGTGACGCCACTGCAATGCAATAATTCTGCGAAACATGAAAAAGAACGCGATGCGTCCTAAATGTCTTCTAGTAGAATTTCGTTTTACATGTATACATAACCTGCTGTTTCATCCCGTGTGCAAAGGTGTGAAAATTTTTAGAGTGGAGTGAGGTTGAAACCCTCAATCCATCTCCTATGTGCTAGTAGAAAGCGAATGTTTTACGTTAATTGGCAGAACACATGACGTTTCTGTAATAGGCTACACTCTAAGCCAAAAGGGAGCAACAGGGGTATAGGGGTTGCTCCTTTCAGGGAGCAATTGCATTGCCA